TTGGGCATGAGCAGGCCAGAGGACAAAGCGCGGTACGTGTCTATTGAAAGTGATACTGATATGGCCTCTCAGCCGCAATCCGACCCACCGCCTGCCCCATCCCCACCTGCAGCGCCCTCTGCACCGCCACCACCGGCACCTTCTGTCTCCACTTCCCCACCTCCGGTTTTCTTCCCCGCCCCCGTGACCGCCACCGTCCGCGCGCCCCCCTCCTTCACGCCCACAGACGCAATACACATGCTCACCGCGCTCAACGCGCAGATCCTCCAGACCGCCACGCAGCTCGCCGACGCCTGCCGCACCGTCCCCGGCTTCCTCCCTCCCCTCGCACGCACCAAAACCCTCGCGCTCGCCTCGCCCTCGAGCGCATACAAGCCCGACGACTACCCGTGCCCGCTCGACATGGCGACCTACGCCATCCTCCTCCAGGACGCGGCGGAGCGCGTGCACGATATCGCGGGCGCGCGCATGGCGCTCGTGCTCGACCAGATGCGCGAGCGCGTTACGGGCCTCCGCCTTGTCGAGGTCCGGCGCAAGGGACAGCTGATGCTCAAGGTGGAGGACCTGGCTGGTGCGGGTGCGGGCGCGTATAAGAGGGAGACGGAGGACCGGCGCCGGGTGCACCCGCTTGACCCGACGCTACTGCAGCTCGCGCTGCAGACGTGCATGGTCGTACACTGTGCGCGGGCGATTCGGCGCTGGATGAGCGGCGCGGACGTGTGGGAGGATCGGGAGGACATGCTGGACAGGCTCTGGGACCGCTTCCGGGAAACAGGCGAGTGTCTTCGGTCGAGCGGTATCGCGCGATAACGTGCTGATTGCGTCTCGTAGAACCACCCTCGGTCTCCCACCCCTGGCGCGTCCTCACGACGCAGCACCTCCAAGAGCTCTCCTCCTCGTGCAGCGCTCTCCCGTATTCGTACGGGACGCCCACGCTCTCGCCCGCACACACCCCGTCGCACCTCCTCGCCGCGTCCGTCGCGGCCGTGATGCTCCTCGCGGGCGTCCCCGAGGCGTTCACGCGGCTGTTTTGTAGTCGGTATCGTGGGACGCTCGCGAGTCTGCTGGATAATGTGCGTGCGTTGAGGGAGGCGCTGGGCATTATGGGGGCGGATGCGAGCGAGGAGGTGGAGAGGGTGGTGAAGGAGGAGGAGGAGATGAGGGGTGTCGGTGGGGATGCAGGTAGGGAGGTAGAGGAAGGAACGGCGGCGCAGGGTGTAAAAGCGAGCATGAGAGCATGTGCGCCCAGCCGTGTGAATGTATCTATGTTCGGGGACCGCAAAGATTGTGTGAGATGAGAAACTGGCAGGGGCAGAGAGAGCTCTATACAGCCCGTCTTACGACCTGTAGGGTATCTGTACACAGTTCACTACAAAGCTACCTGAGGCGACAAAGGGCAGAGGGTTGAACGTGTACCAGAACTTTCGCATGGTGCGAACTGCTTCCAAGTTCTCTGGACC